TCAATTGCCTCATTGATAGAATATTTAGAGTATATATCTAATCTCTAATTTAGAATATGGTTTTGAAAAATAAATAAATAGATAAGTAAATATGATTTTCCCATTGTCCATTACTGGGTGACCAAAGCCCAAGCCGCTGTTCTTCATGTGTACCCTTTTTTGGTGGAAGGCGTTCGGGATTTTTGAATCATTACTTGTCTCTCTCTCTCTCTCTCTCTCTCTCTCTCTCTCTCTCTCTCTGTGTTTTCCCCCCTCTCTCTTCCTTCATATCTTGACTCGGACTGGTTTGATTATCTCCTCGATCGGTGACTTATGCAGTCATTTTACTTGTTTTTCTTTTTCTTCCCCAAAAACTTTGCTTTTACTTTCAACGCAAAATTTGAGGCTGGGGTCCTTACAGTCTGACCGGGATGGAGATGCTGGGAGTACTACCCAGTTTCACTTACGGGGTATCCCGGCGATTTCTGAACCAAGGGACAACTCTGCCCTGACTCCATAACGGGCCATCAAACGTCTCAACTGGTGCAGTCCTCCCTACTGCGGGAGTATGGAGCCTGCATGGCTCCTGGCATGATGATGCTCCTTCCATACCCCACATGCCCGCTTTCTTCTGCCTTTCTACTGCGAACTCAAAAACTGAGCGCCGAGGTTATACCCCTTCTTCTAGCAGCCAACTGTTTAATACAAACTTAGCATTTTCTAGCCTTGCCAGCTTGCCCTGGGTTGCTCATGTTTCTGCGAGAACCAGCTCCTGCCCATATTGTTTCTTTCTGCTGGTGTTGTTTTCTGGGCCACCTCCCGCCTCCAGTACCCTTGGATGGTGTTCCTGTTGCGCTTTTTGACGATGCGTTTGATAGCAACACCAGACATGAATCTTCCTTCGAAAACTGACTTGATTCTGATCCCCCATATCACCCAAAATAAGGAGGTGCGGATGGCTTGTGCCACATAACAGCCCCAGCCCTTGTTGAGGGCCATGCCCTCTGGGACACCCCCAGTAGGATCCAGCGATCGTCCCAGGGGAATGTCGGTCCACTGATCCGGTCCCAGTGATACCTCCACCAGTTCCAGATGCGGAGCGAGAGGGGGCAGAACAGCCAGAGGTGGATGGTAGTTTCACACAGCCATTTGCATCCGGTGCAGTGCATTTCGATTTTCAATCCTCTCTCTGAAAGCCATATCGCAGCTGGAGTGACGAACAGCGAGAGGAGCCAGAGGAAGGCTGCTGATCTTGAGACCGGTGCCATCGTCAATTGCTGCCAACATCTGTGCAGGTCCACCGCCAGGTGGTCTTGATTAAGCACATTCTGTCTTAACCATCTGGTCACCGCCATCTGGGTGGGGGTACTCGATGGCCTTTGGGCATCGTGTCTGTCCTTGAGGACTTAGTCTGATATCCACTGCACAGCTGTGTCTGTTTGTCCAAGACCAGAGGCACGGGTCCAGAATTAGCACTGTGATTTGAGTACCATTGCATTGTCGCATTGTTCTCTTACTCTTATAACTGATGGAGTCCGCCTGCCGTCCATCGAAGTGGGTCGGCTTGTTCTTCGGCTTGGATGAGGCCCTGTTGCAGGCCTGTTGGTTGTTCCCACAACGGAGAGATTCTCCTCCCGCCCAGTTCAACTGAGAGGAGTTTCAGGAAAACAGGAGCTGGTCCCGGTTCCCTTGGGATGGCACCAAGTTCCAGGTGGGTCCACTCTAAGGGCTTAGGAGGTCCCACCATTCCTTGGGGATTGCGTTCACCAGCTTCGTGCGTCCTTTTCCCACCCAGGTGAGTCTGCGGAGCTGTTTTCGCAGCTCAGCTGGGGATAGCCATTGTCCGTGAGGTCATTCCAAAGATCTGCCGCACGTAACACCCCTTGCTCAATCCATGCCCGGCCAAAGGAGACAGCCATGCAGTCTGCAGGGATTCTGTGCCCGCACCCATTTAGGATGAAGGGATTTTCAAATAGGGACTGGGCTAGGACTTCGGCCTTGGTTTTTGGCTTGATCCACCGCCTTTGTTCCTGTGTTCGCCATGCGTCCAGCATCCCGTGCTAGAATTAAAGGTCTTTTGTTAGAAACAGGTCACTGTTCTCAGACATTCTCAATTGTGCTGTATGCATGGGATGCTGGACCCGCTTTCCAGCAGGTGAAGCTCCCCACCAATAGATGGAGTCTCTCTTTTAGGGGCTAGGGGTGATTGGTCTTATCAACAACCCTAGCACCCCAAGGGATGTTTTCTCAGAAAAAGAAAAGAAAAGAAAAGAAAAAGGCATGTGGATAACGGATAATTAATAATTTTAAAGTAACTGTTCTCGATTCTCTTCATTGTTTTGCTGACGATTCCAATGGTTGGTTGACCTGCCTCTCTCTCTCTCTCTCTCTCTCTCTCTCTCTCTCTCTCTCTCTCTCTCTCTCTCTCTCTCTCTCTCTCTCTCTCTCTCTCTCTCTCTC